TGTATTCGTTATTGCGATTCGCTTGAGCTGCGTAATTCGATCGTAGGACGTGCATGTCTTGAAACATTGGCGGACAGGCCAATTCATGAACGGATACATCGCTCACGACAAATAGCTGCGTAGTAAATGTTCTCGAACCAAGCCTCCGCCAATTTCCTGATCACTCATGTCTTCTGTCCCATGTCAACGTGAACCACGCCCGTGTTCAATGTTTCACGCGTTTGCTATGCGTCGGAAATGCATCGAGTGTTTTCAACACGTCGAACGCGCCTCTTTGGAATTCGCGGAGCGATCGTTATGGTAGTAGCTGCAAGGTGCATCGGGGGTGCAATCGGCGAGGATAGGGAGAGTCTGTTGTGATTCACGATAATCGATGGATGTTTCAAGGACGGGAACGATGGTATGTTCCCTTGAACTCGATCATTTGGATTTAAATCGTTCTTCGAATTTCCATGAGGACGTGGAATGAAGATGGAATGTGAGATTGCTTGCGATGAGTACATAAGAAAGCTATTTTTATTAATATAAAATTGTCACGTTAGGATAATACAAATAAAAATATATATATATAAAATGTGAGTCGCCACTGCTCCTACTCAATAATATCGTTATTTTTTACTAAAACAATGGTTAATATTTGACACTATACAGTATCAATTTAACATTATATAGTGTCAAATTTAAATATCATTTTAGTAAAAAATAACGATATATTTAGTAGGAGCAGTGGCGACACATTGAGTTAATTTGACCCTATCAAATTTAACAGTGTATATCAATGCTATTATTTATTACTTACTCAATAATGTAATTATTACATACAATATGTGTTATATTATATTAATATTGTTAAGTGGACAAGTATAATGTTTATATAATGTTACTGTTAGTTGATATTTTGAGTAATGTAAGAATCTGTCTTTCGAAGAATTTTGTTTTTTTTTTGCAATATTTATATTAGAAAATATTGATTTATTTATTGGATAGTAAAAGGAATGTTTGGACATTATTAGACACCTTTAATAAAAGATGTCATTGTTGTCGCTTCCCCATTCAAACAATACTCTAGTCGCGAGAGGAATAGGAGCGGTTCGGCAGACTGCAGCCCGACACGCGCACAATGCGCCTCCGCTCGTTCTCTGATGAACGCCCAGTTGCTTTCTTTCTACGCGCGCATAATGCACGCAGTTTGGTGCAAGCAGCACGTCCGGGAGATTTCTGCCACGTTGTTCTTGAAATAGGGAGCTACGTGAGCGCGCATGGGGGCTTAGTGGGACTTGTACAGATTCGTCACCGGACCCAGAACAGCGAGCGAAGGCTTCGCCTTTTACGTGGCAAGCATTTGTTTTGTTAGGGATTTTCTGGTGAGATAAATGAGACGCTCTGCGTGGGAGACATGCTTTAGAGTACTATTCGCGTACATCGCTTTTGTGTACTGAGAGTTTATGATTAATTTTCAGAATAATCTCAAACGCATTGCGAAGTTATAAAAACATTACTTTGGAATTATTATAATTACTATAATTCCAAAGTAATTTTTTTATAACTTTGTATTTTTTAATAATTTTAACCGAAAACTCAGTATGTGTGAAGACAGCGTCTCATCGCCGTTCCCGTAAAGGAAACAATTTTTTTACGATAAAAAATTGTTTAAAAATCAAAATAACAATGTTAAGCGTCAGAACTCTCTGTAAAACTAGGTATCTTTTTAAATTCAATAAGAAATTGTGGCTGGAATCTTTTTTAAACAAAGATAACGCTGCGTGAACCTGGCGTATCATTTTGAATTTTTAGTTTCTCGGCTTTAATGGTCGGAAGTATTTACTTATCCTATATAGAACTGTAGAACTATTCAAAATAACTCAGAACTCTCAATATTTATTGAATTTCCACCAAGTGAGACGCCAGCTTCACACACACAAAAACCCAAGTCTCTCGTTAAACTCTTATATACAGTAATAAATAAATACAATGAATGCAAAAAATATTCATATAGGGAAAATTTTTATTTTAAAAAATCTTATTTTTGTAAAAGATGAACATTAATTGGCAATTTCTTAACAATGAGTATGTTCTGTCTATAGATGTAATAGGTATAGGCTGCGTATTCCCTGATGATCTTAACATGTGCTCCGTTAGAAGGAATTAAATCGTATCAGCATCTCTTTTTAACTCGATACTTTAGAAAGAGAAAAAGAGGAAGAAAGACAGAAAGAGAGAGGGGGGGGGGGGGGGAGAAAAAGAAAGAGAAAGAGGTTCAAGTTATCTTATTTTTTTTTAATAGCGACAATTTCATTTTATAGGAATACGCAGTTTATTCTTACATCTATGATTCTGCCCCAATATAAACAAGAAGAATTTCGCGAAAATAACTCTGATCTTAGAAGTTAAATTTCTCAACTGTACTTTTTGCACTTACTATATGTTAAAGACGTATTTATCTTTTTACTGATGTATTACCACTAAAAAATATATATTCGAAAAAGCGAATCAATGAAGAAAATGGCAAAATGCTCGTTAGTGGCGTGAAATATTGCAGCGCGATTAGTGTAATCTGATTAGCACGTTCCGCGTAGCGCTTGGTACGTCGTTAACGATCTTTCTCTTGCTATAGCGGCTGTGTGAGCTTTAGCAGGACTATTATTAAATATTGTTTAAATGAGCGATACCGAAGGATCATTATTTCCCGCCATGGCCGCTCACGTGGCCGCGTGTAATCCGCACGAAGTGAACATTAATCAAGTGTGATGGATCATGAGTTGTACACCCGCAACATATAATACTGACTAATAACAGTGATTTTTAGCAGAATACAGCACATCATTCTTAACTTATATCTTAAATCAAAATCAAGATTGTAAACATAATACAAAAGAATCTTTGATATTTTATCTAACCCTAATCGGTATTCGCAGAATCTAGTGGATCTATTACATTTTCTTCAATTACGTTGTAAAAAATTATAACAATTGTTTTTCACAGCCTTACATAATCTTATCGAATTTTGATCCTTAAAATGAAAAAAAAATCGTTGAATTCACTATAAACAAAGATACATTAATTTAACCCTTACCGTACCATCTACAATTTGGTGCCTCATTCATACCATCAAGGGTTACTAGAATCTCTTCGTTTTTTTCACCTCTTCAAAATAATTTAAAAAATCTCTAAAAATTCATCAACATACTTTCAACTTTCTAGAATAAATATTGACTCTTTATTTTGGAAAATAATAAAATGTAGTATAATTTATAATTACCGAAAGACTCAAAGAAACTTGCACGAACAGGAATCGCTCGGTCACTAGTTACCCATATTGGTATGGTAAGGGTTAAAGTATACTGGACTCATGAAATTTCATAGCTCATATCGATTGGTTAACATTAAAAAAAATCATAATATCAAATCATGAGATGGATCAAAGTTCGACATGTTTTACGTAAATAAGTCAGGATTAGAAACAATTTACGTACGACATCAATTCAGAAGTGAATAAAAATGTATGACAAGTTATTAAAGTTCTCTGTCAGCCGCTAATCAATTCTCGAGTCATGTCGGAAAAAGAAAACTCAACCGATTACTTCTTCCGTTGCAATTTTCACGGCGCAATGATCAATTCATTATCACCGGTGCGGCGCAGTGTCTTTTATCTTTTGCACACTGTTCTCTCTCTTTCTGCCGCGGGTAAGCTCGTCACGTTTCTTCATGTGTCGCACGATGTATACGCGAGTAACCCGTTCAGGTGTTACTCGGAGAACCAGCGCGACGACGAACCTGTTCACTGCATCTTTGCGTTGCATCTCCACGGTGTTTCGCAACTGGTTTCACGTTATGCTCTGTCAAAACCTGTCGATGGATGCGTTGCCTAGCAGAAAATGATGGGATCGGTACACGTCGCTTCGATTACACGTTTCTTTCTTCCTATTCGTCTATTCTTTTTTCCTTTTTCTCTTCATGCAGCTCTCCCGACCGGAGATATTGCGTCGACATCGCGACATGTACATGAAAAAGTAATGATTTTTTTATGTATTATAATTACAACTGATATTTGTTAGTTATAATTACACACGCATATTACAGTAAGTTGTAATTGACATCTCTGATCGATTGGAGTTTACATTTATCTGCCGCATGCAGTGGATATATCAGAAACGTTTCTTGTAAAACTAATTAAAAATTTATTACACATATGTAAAATTGTAATCTGTTTGCAGCAAGTATTTTTAATCAAGATAATACGTTCTCTTGTAACATTTTATTATGTTGACATTTAAACAATTTTGAGAATTAGTATTATAATTGTTTTTTACAAGAAAAGATGAAGTTAACGCATTTGTTATTTTTATTATAAATTATATAATTGTTCATTTATAAATAAGAAATAATGGTTAATAAATTTTTATTAGAAATAATGGTTAATAAATGTTTATTAGAGCTACAACTTTAAATCCATCTAATAAAAATCTGAGAGGAATTTCTTTCGGAAGATTAATGTAAAATTAGCTTTTCCTTCATGAATTTTCCGCATCAAACGAATTTATGAGACGCTAATGTATACCTCTGACCTCACAGGCAGACGCTTGTAGAATAAACATAGCTAGGCACTGAGGCTCACAGTGATTTATCGACGCTACGTACCGATGTACCGATTCATCAATAAAAGGCACCAGTAGTCTCGTAAAACAAAACTAAAAGAGAATTAACGACTAGAACAGAATTTTAACGATGCACGGCTCTATTTCGGAATCTTGACAGCAGTTTAGACGATAACAGGGGTCTTCAGAAAGTCCACATTGCCTTGGTTTATTGGTGATTAATTATAATGACAGTTATAGCTCTGTTAAATAATCGTACAATTTACTATGTAAAACTTATGGTACAAGTTTATAGTTTAAAATAAATAATATGACATTTAAAATACAAAAATATTTATATCTTTTGTTATGTGCTATTTAATTTTTTTATTCTAATTTAACAAGAATTACCCGTTTTGATTTCAGCTCAGAGAAGTACGTACAGTCTGAATAAGAACTTAAAAAATAGCGGTCTCTTTCCGTCCACATTCAATGTCGCCGCGAAAGCGGATATTTACGTTAATGCGACCTGCGGTGAGGAGGGCCCAGAGACTTTCTGTAAGCCCTCGGAATCGTCGAGATGCGCCGTCTGCGACTCCAGGAGTCCAGATCCTGGCAAGAGGCACAATACCAGCAACATCCTCGACTCGAATCCCGGAAAATGGTGGCAAAGTCCTACATTAGCGAGAGGCGATCATTACGAATACGTGACAATCCTCTTGGATCTCAAACAGGTATGTAGATGTTTAAGCAATAAGTATTTAGGGCAAAAGCTAATTAAACAAATTTTTTAACAAATAGATTTTATGTAATAATACTAAACATAATTCTTGAGACTTTAATAAATTTAAAGGAAGGTGAAATGATTTTTAAGCGATTACTTTGCGATAATTTATGTTGATTCACACTTAATTTTTACATTTCTACTTTGATTTCTGAATAGATCTTTTTTCTTCTATATATATATATATGGCGCATTATATCGCATTAAAGGTCCCTTTTATTCTCGTCCTCTGAAAAATCGTAAAACGACTTTCGTTCTCTTGTTATACTCGTTTCTTGTATTATGCTCTTTGATGTCGAATTTTTTCGTTTTCTCCGTGCAGACAATGGTGAAATGGACAGAAAAAGAAAAAGATACAAGAAACGAGAGAATCGGAACTGATTTGCGCGAAGTGAAACAGAGAAAGATACGTATAGGGCAAGATGGAGAAGATAGAGAAGCTTTAGAGGATCCCTTTCCGGAAATTTACGTGCCGGCTCGCAGGTATGCCCCATGTAGCCCTTCGTCCTTTAACAAATTGCGAGCGGCGGCGGAGAAAAACGTTTTAACGAGCACGGCGTCCCTTTTTTTGAGAGACTCTTAGTAATGAGGACGTACCGCGAAGTGGATCCACAGAATGAAGTGCCGACGTGACAAGTAAGGGGAGCTAAATTTTGACGAGATGGAACTTTATTCCACACATAGAAATCTTATTCTATGCGTTTCTAAAGTGCATCGAATTAATCCGTTAATTAAATGTGTCCTGATAGAATTATATTTTTACAAATTTTTTTAAATACAAAATTAAGTATCGGTGAATATTTAATTTTATATTTAACAAAATTCTTTTTTGATTTTTAAGAGTACAATAAATATTAAACATGATACTCTACAATATAATACTCTTTTATCACCGTCATATGATAAAAGTAAAAACAAAAAGAGAAAATTAATTTTCTATAAAGTCTAATTTAATTAATAAAAATAAATTAATCATTGCTGATGGAATATTTCTTAATTTTTCATAATTTTTATGACAAAATTATGAAATTTATGTCGCAGGAAAATTAATACAATATATTCGCATAACTACAATATCTATCAAAATTATCTGGAACGCTTGCCTTATAAATCTCAAAAACTTTGTTTTATAAATTTCAAAAACCTGGGTAGCAGTTAGATATCGAATGTTCCGTTGGCAAACTCGTATGCGTAATTTGCTAATTGATCCTCCTACGGGATACGACAGCCGCAGGGTTCTGAGCATAATTGATACGTTAATACAACTACCGCCGTACAACTACCACTGGTACCACAATAATGAACACGTTAAGATGGGCGAAATCTCGCTATGTAATTGAGAGACGCAGTGTAGGTGGCCCGCAACCTTGACTCTTAATTGGACGCTGATTGTGAGCCTAATTCTTCCTATCCTTTCGAGATATCTTTCGCGTCCGATCGCGTTGTAGGTGTATCGTTTATAAAAGCCGATTCTCTCATAATGGTCCGTAACTAAAATTACTTATATACATGCAATCTAATTCTCATTTCCTGAAAGATAAACATTTTTCACAAATTTTCAGAAAACAACAAAATTGCTTTTTTAATGATGAGCTTGTAATCATGATTCTACGTCGACTTTATAACAGCATTTGCAATATAGATAGAATGGTTTTGCTAAAATTTATCTAAAAATTCAGCTGAATACAGATTTGAAAATAATTTTACTAAACCAAAATAAGGTAACGAAATTGATTTTTTAATTCTATTTTTTATATTTAGTCGTATAATTTTGTAATATATAATAAAACAAATCAATATGTTATGAAGTGAAGCATAATTAAGACTATTATGAAAGAAAAGATAATACACATTGCAGTGTTTCTTTGCAGCATGAGAATTAGAATCTGTAACTGGAGGTGTTTTTCTTCGGGTAATAATCCTGCGATATATATATACACCGTATCTTTCGTTGTAGTACTTTTTATGAAGAGAAAATTGCTTGCGATTCATTGCGACATTTTTAAATTACGGTCCGTGAATATTGGGAATGATTATGCTAATCGGTGAATAAACAGAACGCGGGGGAATATGTTTATGGTCCTCGTTAACGCTCATTGCACTTATTAATTTTACGGCCGTCCGTCGCTGTTCGTGATTGTTTCTTTTGTCCCTCAAACCGACATTGAATCGATACGATACATCGAGCGTTGTTGTTATTGTCTTTATTGTTTTATAAGTCACGACCACCTAAATTGAAAGAAAGATTTTTTTTAGCAAAAATTGTAACAATCTAATGTTAAAAATGACTACATTAATCTCTACATATTTAATAATTTGTTATATTTGTTATATCCTTTGGAATTGAAATAATACAAGTAACTTTATTACGAAAACATTTTTTTATAAAAAAGCAGAGACAATGGTAATAATAATATTTTGTTCTTGCGTATTGTAATGATTTGAAGAAAGAAATTTTTTGCTAAATGTCAATATGTAGGAAAGTTAGATCTTATTTCCTGATTTGTTGAGAAGAAACTTCCCACGCATTGATTGGTTCCGTTAACTCATCTCACGTATAACTTCTGTTTGCGCTACTGATTGGCATAACCGAGCGTTAGGATCAACTCCGCCTTTCATGCGAAGGCGTATGGTAGAATAAATTAATTTGTCTGTACCTATATAAAAAGGCCGCCTGATGGACAACCTTTATATCGCTGTACACGGTGAAAGAGCCGGGATCGTGTTGCGCAATAATTAGCAGACGGCTACAAATGATCGTCAAACATTGAGAAGGGAACGATCGCCGCCGCACTTCGTGTGGCTCTTTTTGCTGACATACCGACATTTCCTCGCGGCAAAAGAGGAGGAGTTAAGATGGTGACTGACCGTATGAAATTCATTAGTACTCTTAATGGAGTCTTGAAAATGCATTTAATATATATTTTGCATGCGAAAGAAAACAGAAAATCGATTACGCGGGAAGGTACGATAGTTAACGAAGTATCTTCCATAACAGATCGCGAACGTGATTAATAATTCTTAAAAATTGAATATAGAAGAGGAGGAGTTGTAATAGCCGGTCTCCGTCGTTGCAGAAAATTCATTAGTATTCTTAAAGCAATGTTGAAAAAGAAAGTATTTAATATGTTCCGCAAAATATACAAGAACACAGGATAAAATATTATATGAATCGCTAATGAAGCATTTTCTATAACAATGCAATAATTACAAAAATTAATAAAACGTTTTGAATTTGTGTCGTTCAGATAATTGAACATTTCTTAATATTCACTGCAAGAAAAAATAATTTTCAATAATTAAAATAATGTAACATCTTAATAATACATGGAAAAAACAATTTTGTTGAAATATCTCAAATTTAGCTATTATTTAATTTATGGAATAATGCGCTATTTATGTGTTACCCATACCCGCAAAAAACGGAATGAGCCCAAAAATACATTTTTGGGCTCATTCCGTTTAGCTAAAAAAAAAATTTTTTTATGGGGGAGCTGAGTAGGCAGACAGTCAGCCTCTCCTCCCGTTGAAAACAACCGATTTGGAAAATTAAATACACAGGATTTATGCGCTATTTATGCGCTACTATTTCCAGGCATTTTCGATTTTTGCGCTGCAATCTTTAAGACACTTCCTTCTTGGAGCGAACAGTCATATTCATCCCTAAGTCGTTTAAAATTGCAAAATTAAATACTCTGACTATGCAAAACAATTCTCTGATTTATGCGCTACTATTTCCAAACATTTTCGATTTTTGCGCTGCAACTTTTAAGGCACTTCCCTCTTGGAGCGAACAGTCATATTTACTTAGTGCCCAAGCCCATTTTCCCCCTCTTAATTTTTCCCTTTGTATTTCCTCCCTTATCATGTATACTCTGGTGTCCTTCCCTAAAACCCCCGAATACGAAGCCACATCGAAATCGGAGTACTCCAACATCCCTTTGAAAAGAGGCTTCAAAAAAACGTGACACGCTAATTTTAATATAGGATTAGATACAAATCTGAAAATAATTTTGTTTGAATTAAAATAATTATGTAGGACGTCAAATTGGTTGCTAGAATGTTGTAACTTTTTGCAGCATGTTTATCAACACTCATAAACTTTGTATATAATTATTTTAATGATCCAACAAAATTATTTTTAAATCCGTATCTAATCAAAGTTTTAGATACTTCAGCAAAACGTTCTTTCCGTGTATATTTATAAGCTACAAGTATCAGAATCAATATATTTATAATATCGCATGCTGTGCCACTTGTGTGGACCAAAAAGAGAAATGATTCTGTCGAAGGATCACGGAAGGATCAGACCGCGCGTCGAACCGCCTCCCTCGAATAGCATCGGAATGAAACCGACGAGTTATCGTCCGTCGTAGATCGACGCCACCTCTAACCCTGCCGATGAGGTATCGAACGTGAAAAGGAGCAGCGAATGGTACTCACGTCGAACGACTGAAGCTCCAATCCTTCATTGTTCACGGATTAACGAGTCAAGTTGCCGTCGTCTCTCGAACGCTTGCTTGAGGTCCTCGAACCAGCGCACACGCCGTTTTCTCCTTCGGCCGGGTGAATGAATCATCTTCCTGGGGCAAGCGGGAATGGAACGGGGAGAAAGTGAGAGACGAGACGGAGTCACGAAAATAATACCTCGTAGGGTGGAAGATCGCTCCTCGTGAAGGCGGACTTGTTCCTTTTTCCTATTCATGGACCGGACCTTGCGGGATCGCGGATGATGTATACATATGTTACACGACGAGACACAATCGTGGTTTTTTACCCGGGTTTTATGACCGTGCGCGCAACATTGTGCGTTATTGGATCGCTATGAATTGAGAATGCGAGACGCTTTTGAATTAAGCAATGTGGTACTTTTCATAATGCAGAGTGCCAAATTCTTCGTAGCCATAAAAACGTGGAGAGCAATATAAGCTTTTATCTTTGTTTTCTTCC